ATAAATGAATGATCTTGGCTCTGTTTCAATAAAATCTCATTTACAAAAATAGACGGCAGGCTAGATTTGGCCCAGCAGGGCATAGTTTGCCAAACCCTGCTCTAGAGTATTCCATGCCCAGACCCCCAGTACAAGCATTCTACCCAGAACCACTATCTACCACCTTTAAGAATGAGTAGTCTTAAATTCACTGACAGGAAGTAGCAGTTTAATGGAGTCAAATGAATTTAATATTTACCATAACTATTCTTTTACAAATCAAAAATAATCATGTACATAGTACTAAACAGATGAAGTTTATAGTGTTCATAAAGTCATAGTACCTAAAATGTGTTTGGTATCTGGTCTATCATTCTAAAGTAGATACTCTCCATCCACATAAATCCAGCCTGACATACTCCTGGAATTCTGAATTTACACACCCAATTAACTGCCTACTTAATATGCCTGGAGATCTATTACTCATCTCAAAGGCAACACATACAAGATGGAACTCTTAATCCCTTAGTAAAAGGCTACATTGGCTTTCCTCCTGACACCCACCTTTCCCTCACAAATACCAATAGTTAAACTCGGTACCAAGAACTATCTCCCTTATGTTCCCTCTTCAAAAAAGGCCTAACCTGACCAATCTAAACTAGTCATATAAACATTCTCTAGGCCACTGCCCTGTTTTAATTATCTGCAGAGCATTTACTTCTGTCCTAATATCTTAGTTTTTTAATGTTTGTGTATTCATTTAATTATTATTTTTTTTACCAAAGTATCTTCTTCATAATAGCCCAGGCCTCAAAAACATGTCTCCCTGCCCCCATCATCCTAGGAAGAATACAAGCTTTGCAATAACAGAGACCTATATTCTTGCTTAATTCTCTATCCCCAGTGACTAGAACAAAGTTTGGCACATAGATGTTCAATAATTACCCCCCACCCATAAATGAATAAATTTTTATTTAAATGCCTATGTCTTAAACTTTTTCTAAAAAGTGGGTATTTAAATCTAGATAACTAGAGAGCAAACTTGTCTCTCCCACACTACAAAACATATAGTTAAAAATACTCTAATATTTAGAGATGTGAATATGATTACGTGATTTACCTCCCTTCCTTTGTATGTCACCAAGGCAGCCAGTGGTTTGGCGTAAAATCTGCTGTAGGAAAATCCCAGGCAACCGTACATACTGTTCGCTGTGAGCTTCAAAGCCTTCTGCCGAATGTCATACTGCAGGCCACACAAGGACGAAAGACAAACAACAATATTTGCAGATGCTTAAGAATTACATTAGGTCTCTTTCTAGATCACCAATGAGAAAAAGAACCCCTCAATATCCCTGAAATAAAAAGAGCCCTTAAAATACTCTGTCCTCCAAGGTCTATGATGCCCTAATCTCCTGGAAGCAAGCATATATAGACTCTAAAGTTTCCAGAATTCAGAAAGATCTTGCACAGATACACCCATTGCAGATAGAAGTACCTCCTATTCTGAGGCAGTCTAGTGTTTTTGAATGGCAACTTACCCACAAATAAAATAAGCACATGTGCTTGCCCATAGCATCTTGAGTGTTTGTACTATTATATACTATTCCTAAATAATCAAATTGTAAAAGCTGAAATTTTCATTCAGATGTCTCTTAGTGAAAAAATATACCTGAAGAACAAGATCTGGGTTTAAATCTTGCTGTTTCATTAGCTGTTTGACTTGTTTTCTCCGTTCTACCAGTTTCCGGATTTCTCTGGGCAAAATGCCCATTTCTAAGCTTGGATCTGGCAACTCAGGGATCTGTTCCTGTTCTCCATCCTGATAAACACACAACAGAAATTTTCAGAGAGTAAAACTTCAGTAAAATAAAATTCTAAAATAATATTTGGTAGGCACTTTACCCCATGATCACATCTTTAAAAGCTTCTTTCTTATATGAGTAAAGATCAACGTTCCCTAAGAAAGAGTTGAACAGATTGCAGACCATGGCCCTTCCCACTACCACCTTCCTCCCACTCGTGTTCTATCAGCCTGTCATTCCCAATATCTCCCACCCCTGTAGTTACTCACAAATTTTGATTTCATTTAAAGGGATGGGTTTTTACACATGCTACCATCCTCTTCAACAAGATTGAGGAGCAACATGTTTGGGGAAATTGCTTTTAAAATACAAACACTCAGACAGACTTCTAGGATTTA